AAAATGTAAAAAAATCGAATTTTTCTGACAAATGTACTGTAATTAGTAATTATAAAATTTCCAGATTGCATATTAATCTTAAAAATTTCATTTTTTTCAATTTAATAATGTCAATTTCAAACTTGCAAGTTGAACTATAAGTTATGGTAACAAATTCATTTTTTAGCTTCGATGCGAAGCTGAGAAGGTATTTTTCATTAAAACTTTCACTTTAAAAGACAATAAAAAATAGGTTCAAAATGATTACCTTTAACATATTAAAAATCAAAATCAGTATTAATTTAATACAATTTTTTTTGTTCTTAATTATTTTTTTTTATATGTAAATACTTATTTTTTAATAATAAGTAATAATATTAAAACTTAGAAGTAATAGAAAAAGTTTAATTGCACATTTGAAAACATCACGAAAAGTTTATTTAGAAAAGTATATTTTTTTTCTGATGAAAGTTCCTTTTGTTTAGTGTATTTATTCATAAGTAACAAAATTTTTTTATTAAAAAGTATTGCATAAATTCCTTTAAATTTGTATACGCATTAAAAGTATATGAATATACAACTCCTTTTTATTTTTATAATATCTCCGTAAAAATTACAATATTATATTATTGAATACCACTTTCATACTCAATTTAATTACTGTAATTATTATGTATTCATATATTATAGTTATAAATCGGGGTAAAATTAAGGGAATAAGTGTTATTGTTGTTTTTGAAATAATCTACCAATTTCATTTTTTTCTATTTAATAATATTTATTTCAAACTTGCAAGTTGAGTTAAAAGTTATGGTAATAAATTCATTTTTTTTTTATTAAAACTTTCACTTTAAAGAACAAAAAGAAGTAGGTTCAAAATGATTACTTTTAACATATTAAAAATCAATAATAATTTGAAAATAATTAATTATAAAAATTATATAATATATAATTAAAATAATTACTAATCTGGATATAATTAAGGAAATAGGAGTTGATGTTGGGTTGGGTTGGTTACATTTTTAACTTTATAATGCTATAACTCATTGAAAAGTGTACGAATCAACACAATTTTTTTATGAGAAATAATATTTTTTAATAATCCCTTTTTCATTCGACATACTTTATCTTAATCAGGGTATTAATAAGAAACTAGCAGATAATGTAGCTTTTGTAATTATCCACCAATTTCTTAGAATTAAACACTATCTACTGATTTGCATCGAAGCGTTTCTTATGATAGTGATTTTAATCACTGTCAGATTAAATCTATACTGGACCCAACTATGCAACATCCCCACTATGCCGCGACCCCACTGTGCTGGGTTTTTTCATAAACTTTTGAAGTTAACAAAAATTTGACTTTTTATATCTTGTAATATCTATATCCATATAAAAATCAAAAAAGTAAAAGAAGCATATTATATTATAATACAAAAATATTAATTCTCATATATTGTTATATACTATTTTTGTACAAAAGTACGCAAAATAATGTTTAATTTCATATAAATTTATTTGAAATAAAAAAAAATTTATTTTTGAAAAATATTGGACTAGCCAGGTTTCTTTATTGAATGTTTAAGTTAAAATTATGTTTTATTTCAAATGCAGTGTTTATTTAACTTTACTAAAAGATGTATGAATAATTGATTAAGCAAAAATAAATAATCCTGAACGGTTTATTTCTACTACCAACAATAATTAACAAACCAAAAAATTATTATTTTTAACTGACTAAAGATAGCTAAAAGAGCGAGTAGAACTAAAAAAGATAAGATAAGGAACGAACATATAAGAGTGAATATAGATGTAGCTTCAATTATGAATGAAGCTTAAAATAGATTTAATAAAAGAGAGAAAATAGATTTAGATTTTATGAGAAGAGAGGAATCTGTAGCTGTGAGAACAGTTATGGAAATTAATGTTGAAAGAAGAAGGTGTAGAAGAAAACCAAAAAAGAGATAGAGGTATGTTATGGAATGCGATATGATGACGGCTAATGTGGGAGATTGTGTTAAGTACAAATTTAGGCTAAGGATGGTCGACCCCAAGTAGTTGGGATAACTAAAAATTAACAATTTAATATGAGAATTTAATTTTCCCAAAATTTACTTCTTGTGAACACTGTTTTTTACTTATTTAAAACCCATGAATCTTTTACCAACAAATGGAGAATGTGGAATTAGCGTAGATAGGTAGTGAAACTGAATTTTTCCTCGAAAAAATGTTTCAAAGGAAGTAATAAATTATACCGATTTGTTTATTTCAAAGAGTATTAAGTTGGGTTGGCTCAAAGAAGGTTAGTAGTAAACTGTATCAAGTTACTTTTCTTACCTAAAAAAGGTTTATATGTAATAAATTACAATTATAATGTTTTATATGCTTTAGTTAGCCATAATATTATTCTTATACAAAATTAATTGAAATTTTGAACTACACATTAGCAGCCTGTAGACGCTGCTATAACATAATGCATACGGTCTATTAATAAATTTGTGTCAAGTAAATGTAAGCATTTAAAATAAATTTCATTTTCCTAAAATTTAAATTAATAAACCAAAAAAAGTATAAAAAAAGATTTTAGAGAAACCTTTGTTGTATTTACTTGAACATTACCTAAGTGCTGAGTTTGATCTGCCTGGTATAACAGTGCAATTGCAATTTTCTGAAAATGGAATTCAAATTAATATCAACAATGAGAACAATAGAACACTCTATATAATATTCTGAATGTAACAATTAACAAAGTTTTTGTTAATTAAAAATTATAATTAAAACATATATATATAACATTCTATAGTTACAAATAATCTTATCATATTAAACCGATTTAAAAAAATCTTTTGATATAGTTAATTATAGATTGTTGATAATGAAATTGCATTAATATTTTTAAAGTGGATTGCTAAAGTACTGAAATATGTTATCTGAAGAATTTATTGCTTTTTCAGATATACTTCAAGGCTCTCATTTGAGCATGCTATTTTGTATTATTTTTATTAACGATTTAATGATTTTGTTTTTTCCTTCTATTTTAGGTAATGACACTAAGATTTATTATTTGCTGATGATACAAAAATTTATGTTTAAGTCCGCTCTTATGATGATTGTTAATTTTTACAGGCTAATTTAAACTAATTTAATGTCATATTTTATCGCTTGTTCGTAATAGTAGTTTAATAATTTATAATTATAATATTTCGAGTATTTAATTAAAAAGAGTTTTCAGTTAGAGATATGAGTATTTATTTTAGTTCTGATTTGATATTTATTTTTCATATACTATTAATAAATTATTTAAAATGCTTGGTTTTTCAAATATAAATATAGTTCAATTTAAAAATAAAAATTGCACAAAATCTTTATATTGCTCTTTGGTTTATTCTCATTGAGAGTTTGGTTCTTTTATTTGGTCTCCTAACTACACAACCCCTATTTCAAAATTTGAGAATTTTCAGTATAAATTTTGAAAAATACTAACTTTTAAGATGAAATGACATATTTTCAGGGATTTTTTTATATTATAACGGACTTAATTGGCCTTGATACGAGTGAAATCAGGCATAAATTAGAAGATATTATGTTCTTATAAGTTTTAATATTGATTGTTCTGAACTACCAATGTTCTAAACTAAATTCCAGACTAAATTTCTTATCTTAGTTCATATTACCAGAACTAAACTCAACTCTTTATTTTATGTTCCTAAATTGAAAATTAATTTAGCAACTGTATCTTTTTTCTTTAGAGATTTGACACTAGCCAATTTAGTATGTATTGTGATTTTTTTGATACGTTTCGTGATCGTTTTCAAAATAATATTTTTATTATAGATCTACTTTTAATTCTTAAACTTTCGCATAGTGGATTATTTTTAGTGAATATTATTTAGTAATAGTCATATTATTCAATGATTTGTAATATTTTTGTAATGTTAATTATTGTAATGAATATTATTTACGAATATAAACAATATATAATTTATGTTGTAACGTGACAAAATATGAGTTTTATAATATAGATAGATTTACTGTTTTGCTTTGCTAATGGGCGCGCGTACGTTATATCCGGCCGAGTAATCAGAAAACTGTACTGTTGCTGTCAAGGTGAACGCTATACACACAATATTCTTTATCAGTTTAATAATCGTTCCCTATATGACACATACACTGGCCACCACTGTCAATATCGGTATAATTTTAATATTGTTCATGCTTTAATCTGTTTTATATTTTGTAAATTGTTAAGCCGATACCCTCTCCCAAACGTAATCGTCATCGTCGTTATGGCTCGCCCAGTGTGTAAGAAACCTATGTGCTCTCTTCCCTTTGAACGACCGTCGTGGTATTTTGGCTGTGTGCGTACAGCCAACATTATTTTGTTTTTTTTCGTGTGCGTTTTTCATTTTAATAATGTATTAATTCAACAAGGCGTCGGCCATTTCCGGGGCCGAGATCCCCATCTTAGGACGAGTCCCATCCGGGACTGGGTATCGTATTTTATTTGATTTAATATATTGTTTTGAGCCTTTTTCTGTTTTAAATTTATTTTTTTTATGAGCTGTATATAATTTTAGCTATAATTAATAAATACAAGGTTATTGGTCAGTGGTGTGTCATGTATATTTAATACGTATTTTCCCGCAGTGCCCAAGTACGGTCCGGCCGGCCGGCCAGATTACAAAAATTATCCGCCGCGCCCGGAGTACACGGACTTGTTCCGATGCGGAAGACACTTCACGTGTAATATTTAAAAGTTGTAGGTTAATTTTTTTTGTCTTAATAATTGTTTTTTTTTTTCNTTTTTTTCCCTTTAAATCATTTTCTCTAGTTTTAAGGTAACGGTCTTCGACATACTAAAGTATGTCCACCACTGATGACATCAAATAAACCTATTCTGTTTTATTTACAAGGTATCAGCGTACTATAGTCTACAACAATACTTTATATCTTAGTATATATAAACATATAATTTTTTCTATATTATTAGAATATATAAATATCATTATTTAAATATTATTATTATTATAATATTATTTGATATTATTGGTTTTCTTATTATTTTTTTTAAATCCACTTATGGTCCGGGTGTTGTTTCTTTTTATGATCAAGACCCTCGCTTAAGTGGTTGGCGACCCGATTTCCTTTTGCAAGGGAGCCATGAGGGTGGCGACTTCACAATCCATTACGTGGCCCAAGTCGTCACCTCTCAATGTGTTAAATAACTTAAATAAAGCATCACAATTTATAGTTTAAATCTCTAAGATTGTGAGATCTTGAAAAATAAATTCTATGTTTTAAGGCCATAATATTTAACAATAAGTTTTTTAGATTGCTAGGTGATCTACACCGATGTAGATTATAAATTATATTGAAAAGTAAACATTCCCACATTTCTAACAATCAATAGGGTCTATTTGACCTTTGTGTTCTGCTTCTTTTTTAATAGAAGAATCATGATGCATTTTTTCAAAATACTACCTTTATGTTTATAACTGAACACCCTGTATAAATACAAAGGCATCTTTGTTGAGCTGAATTAACTATTTATAAACTACACAAAAAATCAGCAGCAGCAGGTAAATATATTGAAAATTGTAAAAATGTGTTAAGGGTACTAATAAATAGTGCCAGTACGCACACTTTTATTCTGATCATAATCTATTTAGAACGGTTCATTGTAACATTTTAACGATGAATCATACGTAACACATACTGATTTGATTATATTAAAACCTGAAAGTGAATATTTAAAGCCATATAGAGAAATATAATATTTTTTAAATAAAAAACCATTTTTAATAAAAGCAAACATCTATTTACCCTAAAATACAATTCTAGTGAAAATAGTAGTCGCTAAACGTAATTAAATAAAGAAGTATATCAGACATGTATTTAGAGGCGGTATACTAAGGTAATTGCCCCCGGTGTCATTATTTTAGCAGTATTAAAATTTTAAAATTTTAAAAATTTAAAAATTATTAGTTTTAATTTTAGTTATGTAAACTTAATAGTTCATTAATTTAAATTATACGCTATCACTTTTTCTTATGATGATAGAGATTGTGGAATATGAGCAGAAATTTTGTATGAAAATTTTTCATTCATGTGTTAAACATACTTGTTAATTTTAAAATGAAATGATAGTGTTAAAAAAATGAGAATGATAATATAAATAACTTAAACAATACACTATCAGAAATAGAAATAAATAAAAAATGTACGAATTGGTATAATCTTATTAGCCTTACGCAGTTATTTTAGTCTACCGTAATAAAAATTTATTTTTAAAATCTAGAATACCTATGTATGTATTTTTGGGTAGAATGGGGTAAATAATTTTTAGTATGCGCTTTTTAATCACCGAAAGGACCAAAAATTACTCTATTTTATTAAAACAATCATAACTAAAAAAAAAAAATTTTAATGTTTTTTTTATTATTTATAACTTTTACCTTAATAAAATTGAAAAAAATTACAACGAAAGACCTTTTTTTCATTAAAATAACTATAACAACAATAATCGTAATAAATAGCAACCGATTTAACTAGATATTTTATATTTTGTTTAAGCTATTTACTAGAATTGAGTTTTCATAATTATTTTAATACTTTAAGTAGATTTTAAAATGAGGTTTAAGAGCTCCTAAAATTTACTTTTACACTACTTAGTGTGTCTAGGATTGAAATTTAGGACAGGCTCAATTATGGTTATTATAATTTGGACTTATAGTACAGGCGCTCGTAAGTAAAAATCAATTGAAACCAAATAAAGCTATATATGTTACGTTTTAATTTCAATTGTAAACAATAAATAATATAATTATTTAATTAAGATAAAACATGATTTGTGGAACGGCGTTGATCTATTAAATATTTGTTTGCTAAAAATTAAAAATTTTGATAAATATAGCAAAAAGCAGCTACCACCACTTTTTAGAATGTAGTATACTTATTGCTATAGGTGATATCATGTTGGTAACATTTGTTCACAGTTTAAAACACTAAAAAAGAGAGAAAAAGAGAAACAGTGTTTATGGATTCCCCACTATTTCGCTTCGTATTACTTTTCACGAACATCAGATTTTTACTAAACGTCTACACAACGATTCTACAGCATTTGTTATGGCACCCCTGTTGAGTTATGTCCTCTGCTCGCTCTTTATACTTGGAAATTTTCAACGTAGTAACGAGAGGGTCAGAGCTGTCTAACAAACTCAGTGCAGCATCTTCCATTTTCTGTTACGTTCAATGAGTTGGCGGGAAGGTCTACGTTCCTTTGTTAATCGTTTTTATATTCTAAATCCATCTTAAGGTAAGCATTTGTATTTTTTTTATTTGACATCTGTAAACATTATTTACGTGTAATTATGTTACCTTTTATGGTACACATGATTTGAAATTGTTCGTGAATTTATAAATTTAATTCGGTGTATCCATATTTTTTACATAATTACGCTTACTTACGCTATTAACTTTATGTATGAATTAAATTATTTGTTTATATTTTTATAATTTATTTTATATTAATTATTTTGTTAGGTACGTTATTAATTTTTTACGTTATTGCGTAAAGAATATAAATGTAGGTGATCACATATTTTAAGAAAAACTAATTCATGTATATTAAATATATTTATATTTTTTTCGTGTAATCACGTTTGTCTTTTAAATACAGTTAAAATTTGAGATCTCACAATAGGAAGAATATGTATAATTATATTCTTTAAATATACTGTTATATTATTAATACCTCATGTTGTACTTTTTGTTTTTAATTAAATTAGTTTTATGCTTTTTGTGATCGAGGCCTGCTATTAGATTAAGTACACCATTCTACTAACTAATAAGACCTTTTTCTGAATGAAGATTACATATAACAAATTTCTTTACACGCTAGGCTTTTGAAAGCATTGAAATATATTATTGTATTTTGTAGTAATATTCTGATTACGCCATCTAATTTTTAGGATTTTGGTAATTTTAAAATATTACTTTAAAATCTCTAGTGTGATGAAAATAATTAAATTGGAGATCTGGTATAAACTGATCGTAAATATTAATTTGTTTGTGTGTCGTATATTTAATAAACTAATTTCAAAATGATTAAATATTATTTATTAATCATTTTTATAAAAAATGTATTATTATTTATTTTAATTGATATCAATTACTTTGTTAAAAATTTGAGATGATAAGTATAATTTTAGTATTTGCTAAAAAATTGATTATATAAATCAATTAATTGTTTAAGTGATGTTTGATCTTTGAATTTTAACCCTTAGGAATGATTTCATCTTGTCTACTTTACTAGAAAAATAAATATTAAAATTATCTCTGTTGAATTATTCTCAATTTTTTCTTTTAATTTCACATTAATAGTATTAACATGATTTAATCTAGAAAAATACAGTATTTAGAAGCAATTTATGATATTTTATATCATTGTTATTATAATCTTTAATTTTGCTATTTTTACAATGAATATTTAATTAATATATATTTAATTTAGTTTCCTAGAATTATTTAATTTCAATAATTAGCAAACTCTTGTTGATTAAATAAGTAAACCCAGTACTTTTTAATACAATTATTTTTATTACTGGCTGTTATATTAACTATATTATTTTATTTTGTGAATGATACTATCAATAAAACATATTTGCTTAATTATTACTTTACTCCTCCTAAATACTACTATGTTATCAAGATAAATATATATAGCAAACAGAATTTTAACTTCTAGCTATAAACTGTTATGAGCATATAACAACTATAAATTGCAAAGGTTAACTACATTACCTAAACTCGTATCACTTGAGTATTATCCTATGAGGTGTTCAAAATCTCATCAGATATATTGTAGCTCTAATTACTTCAATTTTTATTTATGTACGGTATCATTCTAGTTAGTTTAAAAACTAGATTTCAACTATAAATAATTAAATTAAAATGAAAAATAATATTTACACAGGATAATAAATTAATTTATCAAGTTACATTTTACATTACATACTACTTATGTCTTTTAAATATTTTAGTTTTATATTAAAAACAACTTAGAAATCTATAGTACATTAATGAGGAAAGTATATAAATTATATTAATTGTATATTCTAATTATTTCAATTGACTGTTTTCTAATTAAAATGGCTAATAAAACCTTATGTAATGTAATAAGGCAGTTTTCACTCAATGTACATTGTGTAAGCTTGTTCCTACTTATTTAAAAGATTTTTAAAATTATGTGTTTATTAAGTTGGCTACTGATATCATAGTATTCTTATTCTATTTATCACTTTGCCTAATCATTTCAATGTTGTTATGGGAAGTTTAATAAATAGGTGGGCTGTATTTAGCTTGCATATATAGAAAGTTATGTCGCTAATACGCACCAAAATTAACAATTCATATATGAAATTACAAATGACTTGTTCTAGGCTAGCATGTACAGAAAGTCATGCCGCTAGATATATTAAATATTTGCAAGATAATAGTCTTGCCTCAATAGCATTTAATATGATAATACAAGACATATTGGTTGTGAATAGAAGCTTAGAAATATTCTGAAAATCAGTAGTTGCCAATTTTATAAATTATTTTTTCTTTAATCATTAAATTAAAAAAAAAACTAAGAAATGTTTCAATAAAGATGACAGTCATTTTCTTATTTATTTATATAATTGGGTTTTCTTGACATATGCATTAATGTACTATTGTTAAATTTGCTTTATTTTATAATGTATTATAATAGTGAATACATTATTTTATAATCATAAGTAACATTTAATATAAGCTTTAATTAAGTAAAAGTGATTATTTAACTTCATAATATAGTAAATAATAAATTAAATGACACTTTAATTGTTCATGTACTATGTATCTTTTGCAAAAACTTATAGTAGTTGATAAATTTGTAAATGTTTCTTAAAAAATTATAAAATAAACAAAATTCATATTTTTTAGACTAGTTCTTGTGTATATTGTACAATGGGTTGTTAATATAATTTTAATTTTTAGAATTACTGTAGTTTTCTGGTCTTCCCTACTGTGACATTCTAAATTAGTTAAATTAACGTTATTGGTTTTCAATTTCGAGTATACTTTTTAATAGTCTAATGCATCATAATTTGTTGGGAGTAGTGTATTTTCAACTTGATAAGAGTAATGGTAATGAATATACTTCTATATGATAAAATGAAATCATTCTGAAGAGTTACACTTATTAAAATTTTAAACTTATTAAAATAAGTTTCATTAAGTAAACTTAATGATTTTATAAGAAAGATGGCGAAAAAAATTATACTTTTCACAGTTTGTGTTATTTATTTTGACATAATTAAATGTGTTTGGTCATTTCATGAATAAAGTTTTGACTATAAATATTGTGCAATAATAGTGACTGTTTTGTGAATATATATGAATGATCTGGGATTTAATTTTTTTTCTTGAGATTATCAATTTGATATGAAATGTTTTTTATATCCATTGATGGAGAAAATTCTGTAGTTATCCTTTTGTTCATGACAAAAATTAACAAATTACATCTGTAAATATTTTCATGTAAGTTAGTTTAACAACACAGAAAAGAAATGATAAGTATCACATATTATCAATTAGTAGAATTTGTTTAAAAAATGTTTAAATTAACAGTTTTTCAATTAAAAGCTTTACTACATTATCACTCAATTTACTTGACAATGTATTATGCTTTTTCATCTCTATATTGCTAATTAGTTAATTTTGTTACCCTTAAAATTAATGCTTAACTATAGCTATTATTATTATGTATTATAAAAAATTATATAGAAACATAAGAAGGGTGAATGTATCAGACTTATTCTAAATGTATTATTAGCTCAGGGTTGGTGTACACTTTTACAATGTTTGAAAGACATGTAATTATTTAATATATAGTTGTCGACTGTTGCCGTCGCCCATCGTTATCGACAGCTGCCGCCGTATATACAGATGATCATAATTACACAATCGTCATAATTATTACTTATTATGTTTATAGTTTATGCCTATAGTTTTTTTTCTTTACTGTTTTATAATTAAGTATTTAGGTAATACATGTAATTTTAGTATGAAATTAAAACTAAAAAATAAACACATTTCATATTTACAAAAAATACTTATATGTTTCAACAGCTTTAAAAATAAAATTATTCATACATTAATACAGTTTTGAAAAAAAATTCAAATCATATTTACAAAAATTATTCATATAGGTATTTAGACAGTATAAAAAAAATGAAATCATATTAAATGACTTATACATAGGGAATACAGTCTCTCGAGATTGGTAGTTTTGTTTGTTTATTTATTTTTGCGAATAATCACAATATTTGAATAAATTAGGGAAAAAATAATGAGAATTGTAGGTATTATGAAGTAAACATTTATTTGTACAAATTTTTTCAATAAACTTTCATGTATTCAACATTTTAGTAAATTTTGACGTATCTATAATCAAAAGAGAAATGAAATAAACGACCAGTCGTCTTTTCTAATATCAAACAAAAGTCTTAATAAAACAGTTCTTTTATAACGAAACAACTAGAAATCAAAAACTAAAATGAATCTCATTAATTAAGTTGATTTGACTAGATATTATTATTTATTATCAATCAAAGAAAACTAATCTTACTCAGAGAACTATTAGAAATGAATTAACAAAATATACCAGTCAAATGTAAGGCTTGTACAGTTCACATCATATGCCATTACGAGTTATTTTGGAAGTAGCTTCTCAAAAAGCAAAAAATGTCCAAAAAATCATCTCCTAAACGACTTCTTATCTTGCTGGCCAGATAATCGCCTGCTGAGAACACTTTTTCGTATTCGACGCTAGTTGGAATCACAGATTTTAGGCAGTCATCCACGAACTGTAAAAGTTCTCCTTTTGAGCCTTCGGACTCGTATAAATTCATTTCCTTTTTGATTAATGACTCCAGAGAATTTGTAGTTAGTTTTCTGTCTCTAGGTTCTTTGAACACAGCAATCAATGTTTTCTGAAGTTCTTCTTGCAATGAAATACTCTTGTGTTTGCGTGTCTCAGAAAAAGATGAAAGCGGTTCATTATCGTTACACTTATCATCAAATCTAGCAATATCATTAGTGGTGGCAGCTGATGTTGATGCGATCGACCAAGTTGGATCTGAATTTGTCTGTGTCTGTGAATTAGTCAGACAGTGTTGCAAATGCAAGCGCTCTATAAGTGATTTAATTTCAGTTCGAACCACATTTTTCGGTGGCAATTTAAAGGTTTCGCAAACTCTACTTGGTACTTAGATGGATCTCTTATATATAACAAGTATGCTGTCAAATTCGTCCGACGCTCAATAATGCGCTTTCTCAAGGAGCAAGCTAGTTTTTCTGCCAATGGAGTTTTCAGCTCTTCCAGTTTAGGAATCGTAAACCTAAGTGTTGTTTCTGCGATAGTCAAGTCAGTATCTCGACGACATAACACCTCCACAGCAACTTTTACAGGTTGCAATGCCGCCTTGTCTAAGTTCACTAAAACCGCATGTTCTTCCGCACTCAAAGAGTAGTACGGATCAGCTTCCAGGCCTAGGTCGATCAAAGCTTTGCTGACACAGCTTGATTCTATTAAATGTAGAAATCATGTCTAAGCTGGACCATCGAATTTTACAATCAAGTTGTAACTTTATATCTTTTCCAAATTTTTGCTTTACGTATATTTGCAGAGTATCAGTTTTAGTAGGTGATCATTAAAAAAGTTTCACCAATTTCTTAACTTTCTCAATAATACCTTCATATTCTGCATCTAAGTCTACTTCTATTCTGGGCATAGGACATTAAAAAACATCATCTTCTGAGTCTGAGCCTATATTATATATTTCGTCCATTTCAGAAGATATCTCATCGTCGTTTTCTTCATTTTCAGATTCTATCACAGGTTCCTTAACATCAGTTTGTTTTTTGTAAATAGTATGTATTATGCCAAGTTGAATTCCATGGGCATAGCAGAGCTGATGTGTAGGTGATATTAATAATAATTTTTTTCCAGAATAAGGCCAAATTTGGTTAATTTTGTTTTCAAAATACTGACACCACTTTTAGCAGGCATACTTCCAAAGAGGCGAATCAGCCCCAAGTTCCAAAACCCAGCCCTGCCGTTTAAAATGTGTACATTCACATTCATATATCGCTTGTTCATA